AAATATTATAACAATTATGATTGCTCATGAACATTTATTAAAAAGTTACATTTCTTGACTTAAATTAACATTTGTTCTCTACTAAACTCCCCCCCCCCCACCCCCGATTTTATAGTAATTTGTAATTATTGTAATTAGTCACAACTACACGATTAATAACTTACAAAAGACGTGTTTTTCTTATGGTAATTGATCTGTGCAGCGTGTTGATAATGATCATAAGTTAAAAACTTTCTACACCCATACCTATAAGCTCTGCCTCACAATGCCTCAGTGTGTTACTGTGAGACTGATCACTGTCCTAAGCACCTGTAAAGACTTTTCTGTTTTGTTCAAGGCCGGTGTCCAGATCTCGCAAACACACATGACCACTACTAGTTCTTTAAGTGGCGGGCTTTTCTCTGAAACTGCCGGGCGTGCGCTGCCAAACATCACATGCATCCAAGGGAAAATCTGCTACAATCTTATTATAGTTATTACACGGTGCTCAATACTGACGTTTGATCGCGTCAAGTAATATGTTGCTATTTCCTTGCAAATCAAAGGGAAACTGTAAGACATATTCACTGGAATTAGACTACAGATGAATAGAATTAAAAAACAACAACAACAACATCATAACATTTAAAGTTGTCAAAATCGATGTTATGAATATGTTGAATGCATTCCATATGCCATATGACACAAAGACCCTTCTTTTGTGTGAAAATAACAAAAGCAGTAGGCTTGGTGCAGCGTAATTCGCCTTTTAACTTTTATCACTGAAGGGTGTGGACGTGAACTATTTTAGAATGGATAGGCATTTTCTCTTAGCGAATATAGATGGCCAAGGCTCAAAACAGATATCTTTTCTTTTTGTCCTGTAATAGAGCTTGCACCCAAAGCGACATTCCTTTTTTTCTCAAAAATGCTCGTTGCTATGGTTAAAGGCAGTACTTAATTTTGGGAGTTTTTTGTTTAATAGCGGGATAGCTGAAAAAAACATGAAATTGACAAATTGCCGGGCAGATTGTCGGGAATATCTATTCTTTTTTTAATTAATTAATTTATTCATTTTCAATTCAATCGGCAATTTTATTACTTGTCTTTCATTTCTGTTTATCAATATTTTTCATTAAAATATTTCTTATTGAAAATGCAAAGATGTGTGCACTACTGTCATATTTCGCACATAAATAATCCCGAACTACACATTTCTTTACTTGCCAACCATCTCGTGCTGCTTGATCCGATTACTTAGTTGAGTGCTTGTATACTGACGAATAAAATAATCCTTAATCAGAAAGAGGTAAGAGATGCTTTGTTAATTAAACATAATAAGCTAGTCTGGGGGTACGTAACCGTTGTGTAAATTTATACAGCCTGGGAGGTAAACAGAAATCCCTCTAACACGATTACAAAGGTATAAGATTTCTTTTGACTCCCACAAGGTTGTATATCACGAAGAATAAACTAAGGAAATAAAAGAAAATACATTAAGTAGCTTGACGAGAATATGTGACCTTGAAATGAACTGAGGGGTAACCTAAACAGAAACCAGCTGTATGTTACACACACACTCAGGTCACGTTCAACAGTACAAGCAATACAGGTGATTCAACCAAGGTTTATTTTACATCCAACTGATAAATTAAAGGGCTAACAACTGTGTTCATTTTGGCCAAAAAATAGATTTTCCTGGGGTAAACGACAATTTTCCCCAGACCATCTAAGGTTAAGGAATTCGTTCCGGCATTCAAAGTAAGTCCCTGTTTTATTTATTTATTTTTGTTTATTTATTTATTTATTTTATTTATTTTTTTTTGTAATAATCTCGGTTATCCGTCTATGGAAGTCACGTGGTTCGAAGGTAAGAACATGTTCTAGAATTATTACGAAAACACCATTTTGGTGGTTTAATTAATTAAAAATTTCTAGTGAGTAGTTTACAATGTATTTAGTGTGAAATATGTACCTCATACGAAGAGTTGCTATCCCTTTAAACGCATGCTTGAGTTGTTACTGCGTTTACTTTTTCATTTCGATGCTTATTATTCTAGTGACGAAGCGTTTTTTTACAGTATACTAAACGTCAAGCGTATAGTTTATGTTGTTAAATATCAAGTGATTATATTCAAGCAGACCGTCCTGGGATGTGTTTCAAAGCATTGGGATTGGCAGTTATTTGTGCTTTCGTGCTGGAATATGTACAGGGTAGGTACATTTCAAGGCTGTGATTTTTTTATCAATGTTTAATCAAAGGAAATGGAGGCAAAGCGCAAAAAAGCATTAGATGCTCTCCATGTAGAACAAAATTAAATAAGTAAATAAATAAAACAAATGGATATGTATATGCATATACACAAGAAGCAACAGAATATATATATATATATATATATATATATATATATATATATTAAAGTAAAAGTGTTTTTCCTGTACGAATATATGTGTGTGTGTGTGTGTGTGTGTGTGTGATATAAAGAAATAAAAACAGCAGTTATTTTACCCCGACCGGTTTCATCACATCTTCAGGGGGTCTGTTTATTTTGGTTGCTAAGTGATGTCATAAAGACACAGTGTGATGTCTCTAAAAATGGGTATTTGATTGTTGCTTTTACCGATGCTTTAGGATCTGCGGTGAGAACTATATAGGGCAAACCGGAGACACTCTCCGACATAGAATCACCGTTCACAGACAACAAATAAGACAACCTAAACATCAGTGCATGTTTGTGAGTGGGCACATTAGGGAATGTTCTATGAACAAAAACAAGGACTTTACGGTATTCCCATTTAATAAACTCACTAGGGATACAACCCAATCAGAAAGGGAAATTAAAGAAAATTTCTTTATTAATAAGTTTAAACCTACATTAGACAGGTAATGGCAGATCCTAAAGCATCAATCAAATACCCATTGTTAGAGACATCACATTGAGTCTTTATGACATCACTTAGCAACCAAAGTAAACAAACCCCCTGAAGATGTGATGAAACCGGTCGGGGTAAAATAACTGCTGTTTTTATTTCTTTTTATCACACACACACACACACCCACACACACATAAGAACTTCAAAGAAGGAATTAAAAAGAGAAAGAGGGAGAGAGAGATAAAAAGAGGTCATTACTAATTAACGTACACAACTAAATACAAACATTAGAGATCAGATTTTCAGTATTGGAACACAAAAGTTACCAGAAATAATTAAATACAGAAACCATGATTTTGCTAAGTATAAATTCTACAGATGTAATCGTGTACAAACATTGACTTATCCTTACATTGTGTGATGCAAAATGGTTCGTTAGACAGAAATATCTGTGAAATGAAACCATCAATAATGCCTCCATTACGTGTCAAAATAATATGTGCCTGATTATCCTGGGCATTTCTTAAAGAGGGCGGCGTATACAAGTTTTAACCATCACCATAACCCCCCCCACACACACACACACACAAACACATACTCACAAATACAAATTCCTGGGATCCTCTAAACTTTTTTGTACTCTCCAGCCATTACTCTGTTTAGCTCCAATCCTATATCAACAAATATCAACAAAGTCAAACGTGTTGAATACCTTGATATCAGGGCGTCTCCTAGAGAGTATTTTACCACTATTTTGTTTCAAGGGAAAGTCTTGGCGCAACCTGAAGTGGCATTATTATTATTATTATTATTGCTATTGTTATATCAATCCGTCACAGAATAGATATTTCTGATGGCAAACTAACCTAATTTTATGTTTTATTTACGGAAGAACGAACTGTTAATATATTTAAGGTAGCCACTTTTTTGGATCTACAATAAGTTGGAAGCCGTCCCTTACTGAATACAGCAAGGTAAGACACTTCCCAAAAAGACAGGTTTGAATTATTACCATCAGTATAGTATCAATTTCAATCCAAAACAATAAAAATCCCAAGAAAATATTGTTTGAATGGATCTTTATCGTACACGTGCGCGCGGGGGTAGCTTACCCGCTTTAGATGTTTATAGCTGAATACCACACATGTAAATGGGTGTATGGAATTTTGAAATAAATTTTTGCCTTTCTTGGAGGATTTTAAACTTTTGTTTCAATAGGATCTGCATTTAAAAAGAGCCTAATTAAAGGGGTAGTTTTGAAAATTCATTGTATTGAGCTACCTGGCTCACTATCTTGTTTCATATTATTTCTAAACTTAATTTCACGAGTCGTTTAGTATAATATTATGTTAATGCCCAATATATCTTAGTATGATTTAGAATATTTTAATATTTAAATACGTTCAACTGTGTATTTTGAACTCTAATTTTAGTAATGCATTATGCATTTATTTAAAGGATACTTTTCGCCTTTAAAACTACTGCAAAGTAATGTTTTTATTCCTGCATACCCTGCAAAAGTACTTTCCCAATCGTCCCTATTCAGACTTTTAAAATGACAAAACCCCTCCAATAAAAGTACCTGATGTCGAATTTTTTCTGAAATATAAAGGAAGACATGGCAGTTTCCCGAAATGTAACGGGAAGTATTAAAAACTAAGTCATTAAATTTAAAATGGTACATTTTATCTAAGCTTAAGGGTGTTAGTTTTTTAAGAGGAGTGGAATAAAAGAATGTTCTATGGACTAGCTCTATACAAAAATCCTCGTAATCCAATAATTGAACTACTAGAAAAAATAAGATCAATTTAAATAAGTAAAGTTATACATTTACCAAAGCATTTATTATATGAAGATAAAGTGATAACGAGATTCACCTTTCTTTTCGATTTTACAAGCATTACTCGTGCATGAGTACTATAAGCAACTAGCTATAAGTTTAAATTGAGGAAGCTGAATCGCATAAAGTTCATCACAAGTTATCGATCATTCTCAAGATAAATGCATATTTATTGATAGGGTCATGATATACGTAGGGGAACAGAAGTATTGCACCATCTGTGTGAATAGTGCGCTATGGTGTATCCTTTAGTAAAAAGTAGTTTGCGGTTTATTGCTCAAGTACCTGTATGTGATGAATTTTCATCATGCGCACTGTTGAAGGTGGCATCAAAGGTGTAAGGCCCTTCTGGCTGCCAGGTTCCTACATGTACCATGGTGAAGGTATGGGAGCTCACAATTGAAGAAAGAAAAATATTTCCCTGAGGGGGAGGGGTGAGGGTGGTATAAATGTCCCCCAGATAGCTGTTGTGTCTGATCAGACTGAATATAGGATTTACAAAAGGGTGGAGGGCACTAGTGATGCGCTTAAGTCAGAAGTGGTCATCCAAAGAAGATCAGTTCCAGAGACAACAGGTGTCTTCTTATGCTGTCAAAGTTTAGGAGATTTGAACCGTGCATCAAATTAGGTTTGCAGTGGTTGCGTAATTTGCAGGTTGAGGAAACTAACTGTTCAAATAAAGCTTCATTCTACATAAATTCACACTAGGGTTGCCAGTAAAAAACCACGTATCACCGTGGTAAACAAACGAAGAAGAGTGACATACGTTGTTAAAACCATTGCATGGACTGTAAGTCAGCACTGGCACCAATTTTTTATTTTCTGAGGAGATCATATTCTGTGATGGGACCAGAAGGATGATAGCCAAATTGAGATCACGTGATTGTCTTGCAAAATATAAATACTGACGTAATAACATGCGTTTTGCAAGGGCAAAGCATTGGTCTGTAAAACTGGCAGTAAAAATACTTATCAATTTTTAAGTTTTGAATAAAATACTAATTGTTAACCGAAAAAAACAGCTGTTGTTCACTTTTAATCAAATTAATGCGATATTTTTTGTAACCCCTCTGTATATTCGCACTGAATAGACTTATTGTTATGGAGAAATCAACTCGACAAATCTTATCCAAAATGTGTAGAAAGAAATTGGCCCACACCACTATGTATGCGATCATTGCGCTTTAAATGTTTTTGTTCATGTCATTTCTATCGGTTCATATTTTCCTTGATCTTTTTTTGCCTTAATGTAATTCATTAAATTTTATTTATTTTTTTATTCTAGTTATCCATTTATTCATTGAGACATTTGTAAGTGAAAAAAAGGAAACCATGTACATATACGTTACATTGAGAAACTTCGCACCAAAATCCTGTATGCCATCTTTCTTTGTTCTTCTATTCAAACCATCTTTTCCTCATTTCGTGTCCAGGTTAACTTTCAGTGGCAATCTGCCTGGTTGCTAGGGCGTGGTCCTTGTGGCGCAGGGTGTAATGAAACGGACATTGGTAACCTGGGGAGCTCTAGCTTAGGCCAATGGAGGTGTTTGTCCGGCTGTGGGTCCACTCTGAATTTAGCCGACCATCAGTACGTTGTCACTGACATTAGTGTAGATGAAAACTGGGAGCAAGGAGCTGATAGTTTCTCCTACACATTTCCTGACCAGGGAAAGTACGTGGTGGGGTAAGTAGTTTGCAGGTACCACGAGATCCGAATATCATGCTTAGCATTTCCTACGTATGAGCCATTTAAAAATTGTTTTTTTTTTCTCAGAGCGCAAAATTCCATCCTTTTTTTTTTAGATAATTGGATTACTTTTTATTTTGAGCAATACGGCTTTTATTATCGTTAAAAGCTCTTAGATTGTTGTATCTAATGAGAGGCAGAAGATTTTATTTATGAAATAATCTACGACTTGATTCATAGGTAAGGTTTTGTTCAATTGCAACAAAGGAATAATTTATAGATAATAAAACGTTATAAACAAAATGAAAATTAAGGCATGCCAGATAACAACAGGCAGTACATTCAACAAGCATCACGGAATGTTTAAAATAATAGGGCATGTATATTGGAGTTTGAATCATTTGCAATACAAAAGTGACCTCTCCAATTGTTTTTTTTATCTTTTCATCTATCTATATTTTTTTACTATTAGACATTAATTGTTTTAATTTTAGAGTTTATGATTTCACATGTTTAACATTCCAGCAATGTTTAAAAAAAAATTCTGAAAATTTATTCAGGATAAGCCAATTTCCAGTTTAATGTACGATTTATTAGAATATCTCTCGGCTTGAAGTGCCGGTGCCATAACTGACATCATAACCTTCAACCCAAATTTTATTTGAAGCTGTAGTAAGTGTGTTTTTTTAATCATTCATATAGATTCACTGGTGGTGATTGGCGCAGTTTAGACTATGGTTCCGGCGGGAGTTGGCGACTTCAAACCGCAGTCAACCTCGGCAATAGAAGTGACTCCGGTCATCCAAACAACAGTCCTGTAACTGCAAGTAAAGCCATTTACAGGTAGGTGGACAGCAAATACCAAAAATAAAGTCGCCGAATTTTGCACGTTGGCTGCACGCTCATCCAACAACACGCCGAGCATATGACCTGGCTGCCTGACCTTACTGTTACCATCTATGAACTTAAATAAACTCAGCTCGTGAGCTTTAGTGTAAGTTTAACATTTAATTTTTATCCCTTGAAGCTAAATTGATTTTCATATCAGCTTGATTGTGCGCCCTTGGCTTCTACAAAACTTGTATAATATCAGATCGACAGCCAAACATTTGTTGACACAGTTTGAAGCTAAGAGCACTCAAAGCAAAAATTCAACCTACATTACTGTTTTCTCCAAAATCTAACGTTGAGATGATGTATCCGTTCATAAGGAAAGGTGCGAGCTTAGTGTCGGGGGTGCCTGGAATTTTGGCGTATTCTGTAAATAAAAGAAAATATGCACGCTGTAATGTTGTGGCAAAAGGCAGGGCGCCTGTTACTAAACGCTTAAAAAGGTTTAATTCTAGAAGGAAGACAAAGTGTAAATTTTTTGTTAGTCAATCATTCAACAGCTTAATGAAAACTTTGAAATATAATTCTAAAAACTTCTAAACGTAATTAAATTGGGAGGCACAAAATTGATGCTCAGAATAACTTTATCTGCTCCTCATATGTTTGAAATGTTTGTTACATCCAAAACAAAAAAGGACTCTTATCAAAATACAGCATATATCTACATACTTTGTCGACTCATCACTTTCAGGGCCATGCTCGGCTGCAAATTCCAGCTCCAGATCCCTGTGCAAGATTCAGACGGAGACGCAGTCCGCTGCCGCTGGGCGAATGGCACAGACGAGTGTGCCAGCGTTTGTCACTCGTTACCGAACGCTACATTAGATGAGGTACGTCTTTTGCGTTATAATTTCATAATAAATGTCAGAAATCATGTAACGCAGAATATGTCACGTGACAAAGTCATGTCTTAAACAAGACTCAGCTACATTGGTAATAGAATATCTAACGTCATCAAACGGTCAGATTGCTGAAAAAGACCATCAGGGGATATCTTAGTTGTTAGCTTGTTCATCTGTTTATTTTTCATTTTTCAGGAGACATGTACCCTCACAATTCCCATGGTGTCCACGGCGAACAATTACAGCGACGGAGGTTGGTATGCTGTGGCGTTGACTGTCGAGGACTTTCCGCAGACGACAATTGAACAGGGAGGCGTCAACAAAACGTCTGTAGACAGCTTGAGCTCTATCCCCTTACAGGTAACGCTTACATTGGACTGCATTATAATTGTGGCTTCTTTATGAGTCACGCTTTTCTCGAGAAGCAATCAATTGAAACACGCTGTATAAATATTTTTTCTGATTAAGTCGTATGAAAGAGCTATTTACATGGAATTACGCATTACATCGTCCTTTCGCAAATGAAGAAGTGTCAGTGCATGTACTGAGCTTTAAATAGATACACTATTCAGATAAAGGGACAAAATTGGTCTTTATTTTCTAGTTTCTTATCACCACCCCTGACCTTGGCAACTGTTCTGATGTTCCGTCAATTCTGCAGTGCGGTGTTGACTCCAATGAAACTATTTCCATCGCTCAGAACGAGACATTCAATGGAAAAGTGTATGCCGAGACCAAGCATATTTCTGCCCCGTAAGCAAAATATAATACGTCAAATATTTCTTTAACATAAAGAATTTAAGTGTAAAATACCCTACAAAGGTAAGAAATTAATGGTATACTAAGTTATAGTTTAATATTTTCCATTTCAGACCTTAAAAACGATAAAGCACCTGACTCGATATTTCTTTCTGAAATGTGCTGGGAGACGAGACATAGCGGCCATTCATTTAGAACTAAATTAATTAGTTATAAAACGGTTCTTGAATGTGATGAGATTGCTTTTTTCGAGGAATGCATTTCATACCGATGAGACAAACTGAAAAGAACGTTGTATTAATTGAACCCTTGCTTATATAATGTGGAATCTTTTTAATGTTAGTGTAACAATATACTCTTTTCAGCATAACTAGTATAAACCTGGTCTCTCCTGCTGGTTTGCTAAAAAGTGCCATCGCACCGGACGACCTCGGTAGAGCGGCGGTCAAGTACCTTAACGTGACGTGGACGCCATCTAGCGACCAGACTGGCGAGAACATTTTGTGCTGTGAAGCAGTAGATTCAGCCAGACGGTCCAGTTCATCAAAATGTATCGCATTAAGGGCAAATGGTAAATACTGATGAGGAGAAACTGATATGTAGTTTTTTTCTTTTTCGTAAAATTAGGGTTTATGTGTCATTTTGTGAAACAATTTGTGAAATAGTGAATCTTAAATTGAATAAGTCCAATAAAATGACTCTTCATTGAGTTACGAAAACCCAATGCATAAATAATATGCTTACGCTGGCATTTTTGGTAAATTGATTTAGGTAAGACTGTGCTCACGTGTATTATCATATTTCTTAGTCTGCCAACTTATAGTAAAACTCTTAACTAGTACATGTTCGTGCAAGGAGACTGGAAATTTGTGTAGCAATTAAAGTTGGGCATGTTAATGAATAATACTGTGATACTTACAGATGATGATGAATGTGTAAGCAACCCGTGTCAGAATGGAGGAACCTGTAATAACCTGTACAATAGATTTGAGTGCAAATGTGCTGTTGGAACTACCGGTACAAGATGTGAAACAGGTATATATATATATATATTCACAATACTAGAACATGTCGAAAATATTCCGACCATCTCCAAGAACTCCCAGAAGGACATCTACATCTGCCTGTAGATGCACGAATTTTCGAATATTGTTTTATTTATATAAAGAATTATATTAAACGATCTTTTCTATCAAAATTTTCGGGCATTCTGAAAAATATCATGTCAGCACTTACAGGTTCATAAAGATGAATTTTTAAGACAAATTCTAATTCAGTTGCAGAACGTGTTTCCGTCATCTTAGTTTGTAGAATTCAGTGTTATTATACCCCAAGTCAAGACCGTTGATTTCTTATTTAATAGCTTTCATTTCAGACATCAATGAGTGTAACAGCAATCCCTGCCAGAATGGGGGAACGTGTTTGGACAAAACTGGACACTACAATTGCTCGTGCCCGGCCGGTTTTAATGGTACCGAGTGTGAAATAGGTACACTGATGATTTTAAATTTGAACGTCTTAACACTCACCATGAGACTAAACAAATTTGACACGGAGTTAACGTTAAAATTATAATCAATAAATATTTACTGGTTTTAGGACATGCTTTAAATCATTTTAATCCGCATTCTAGACATCGATTTATGTGCCAGATATTTCTTTGAGAACGCAGGCACTTGTATGGACAAACCCAGACGTTACAATTGTTTGTGCTTTACTGTTTTTATGGGAGCCAACCGCAAAGCAGATAAACTGACGATTTAACATTAAATACAAAATACTAAATCTAATACTTAATCCGTAACGTTTTTAATCCTTGAAATCATATTCCAGACATCGATGAGTGTGCCAGCAACCCCTGTGAGAACGCAGGCACGTGTATAAATACAGATGGACACTACAATTGTTCGTGTTCAACTGGATTTACAGGAGACAACTGTGAAATGGGTAAGGCTAACAAAAGTATAACAGAAGTACAGGGCTATCCCTGATATCAGACAAGTTTAAAATTGGACACGACATTATAAACCCAGTGTGAACAAAAAGCAATTACAATGCCGAAAGTGCATTTGGGTTTCAGAATAAAGACTCGAAATTAAGACGTGTCGATGGTAAATTGCCCCAGTGGTAGTTTGTAGCTCCAACGATCATCAATTAACAGCAAAATAGCAATGGTTTGTAATGATGGGTATGTGACAAACGCAACTGTATTTTGATTTCACATCATTCTCAAAAACAATATCTTAATATGGAAATGTTTGGCCAAGTTTCCATTAGTGATTACTAGCATTTATCATTTCAGACATCAATGAGTGTATCAGCAATCCCTGCCAGAATGGGGGAACATGTGTGGACGTGAGTGGACACTACAATTGCTCGTGTCCAACCGGTTTTCATGGCACAAACTGTGAAATAGGTACACTGACGGTTTTAATTCTTAGACTTTTAACGTCTTTAAATGCTCATCATGAGACAAACAAAATTGATACGGTGTTAATGTTAACCATTATAATCGATCAAATCATATTCGATTCTGAGACATGCTTTAATTATAAACCATTTAATCAATTAATGTGTCTGATTTCCCAGCATATATATAACGCGGGCACTTGTATAGACAAGCCAACTGTGAAAAAGACAAACTGACGTTTTAAAATTAAATACAAAATACATCTAGAACGTTTTTAATCCTTGGAATCTCATTCCAGACATTGATGAGTGTGCCAGCAACCCCTGTGAGAACGCGGGCACGTGTATAAATACAGATGGACACTACAACTGTTCGTGTCCATATGGATTTACAGGAGACAACTGTGAATCAGGTAAGGTTTACAAAAGTATAAGAGAATTATACCTGGGATCAAACAAGCTTTTAAATTGGAGTGGTTAGAAGTTTTGAAACACGACGATATATCACCAATTAGAACAAAAGGAAATTACATTGTCGAAAGTGCAATTGGGTTTCAGAGTAAAGGCGTGAAATTAATACATGTACATAAATGACCCCCTATGGTAGTTTGTAGCACCAACGATAATCAATCAAACATCGAAATAGCAATGGTTTGTAAAGATGGGTATGTGACAAACGCAACTGTATTTTGATTTCACATCATTCCCCAAAATAATATCGTAATAAGTAAATGTTTTGGTCAAGTTTCCATTAGTAATAACTTGCATATCTCATTTCAGACATCAATGAGTGTATCAGCAATCCCTGTCAGAATGGGGGAACGTGCTTGGACATGAATGAACATTATAATTGCTCATGCCCAGCCGGTTTTAATGGAACCAGCTGTGAAATAGGTACACTGCCAATTTTAAATCTCAAGACCAATTAATGTTTTGAAATGATCATCAGGAGACCAAACAAATTTTACACCGAGTTAACGTTAAAAGTTATAATCAATCAAATTTTACTGGTTTCTTGTACATGCTTTAAAAAAATTTAAGCCGCGTTATAGACATTAATTTATGTGCCAGTTACCCCAGTGAGAACGCTGGTACTTGTAAAGACAAACCTGGACACTACAATTGTTCGTGCCCGACTGTTTTTATGGGAATTCTAACTGCGAAACAGTTATACTGACATTTAGAATTAAATGTAAAATACTAAATCTAGAACGATTTTTATCCTTGAAAACACATTACAGACATTGATGAGTGTGCCAGCAACCCCTGTGAGAACGCGGGCACGTGTATAAATACAGATGGACACTACAATTGTTCGTGTTCAACTGGATTTACAGGAGACAACTGTGAATCAGGTAAGGTTTACAAAAGTATAAGAGAATTATACCTGGGATCATACAAGTTTTTATATTGGACTGGTTAAACGTTTTGAAACACGATAATATATAACCAATGTGAACAAACAGAAATTGCAATGAGGTTTCAGAATAAATTAATACATGTAGATTAATGACCCTTGAGGTAGTTTGCAGCATAACGATCTTGAATTAAACAGCCGCATAGCAATGGTTTATAAAGATGCGAATATGACAAATTCAATTGTATTTTGATTTCACATTAATCACCAAAATAACATCTTATGGAAAAGTTTTGGTTAAGTTTCCATTAGTAATAACTTGCATATCTCATTTCAGACATCAACGAGTGTATCAGCAATCCCTGCCAAAATGGGGGAACGTGTGTGGACATAAGTGGACACTTCGATTGCTCGTGCCCAGCCGGTTTTAATGGAACCAACTGTGAAATAGGTTCACTGGCGATTTTAAATATCAGACTGATTAACGTCTTCAAACGCTCATCATGAGACCAAACAAATTTGACACGAAGTTAACGTTAGCTATTATTATTATTCAAATTTTTCTGGTTCTAAGACGTGCTTTAAACACTTTTTTAATTCGCATTCCAGACGTCAATGAATGTGCCAGCAACCCATGTGAGAACGCGGGGAATTGTATAGACAAACCCGGGCATTACAATTGTTCGTGTTCTGCTGGCTTTATGGGAGCCAACTGCGAAACAGGTATACCGACAATTTATAATTACTCCGAATTACATCAAGGTCAAGCGAATTTTAAAAAAAAGCTAAGTAAACAAAATTAGAACATATGTCACGTTAAGGCATTTATCTTTTAATTGCGATTTGTTAAAATCTAGCCATTCATATTCCAGACATCGATGAGTGTGCCAGCAATCCCTGTGAGAACGCAGGCACGTGTATGAATACAGATGGACATTACAATTGTTCGTGTTCAACTGGATTTACAGGAGACAACTGTGAAATAGGTAATACAGGAGTATAGCCGCGTTTGAAACGTGGTTTTGATTTTGATTCTTTCGACATTTTTACCTCTTATTGATTCAAATAAGAGGTTAAGATGTCTAAAGTGCCCTGGATTTGAAGAATGGAAGACGTAATGATAGTGGAAAAGTAGTTAAGTGTCCAATTTCACAGATTCATAGTAATAGGTTATAAACTGAGAAATATCTATATAGAATCTCCGAGGTCTGTGGCTGATGCAATTGGTTTTTGCTTTTACATGATTCTAAAAGAAAAAATATCTTAACATGGGAATGTGCTAATTAAGTTTCCATTAGTGATAAGAAGCATATCCCATTTCAGACATTAATGAGTGTATCAGCAATCCCTGCCAGAATGGGGGAACGTGTGTGGACAAAACTGGATACTACGATTGCTTGTGCCCAACCGGTTTTAATGGAACCGAATGTGAAGCGGGTGCTCTGACTTTGAATTGTCAAATAATTATTTCAGGACACTTGTGTCATTTACTGTGTTTTGTATTTTTATGTTAACGTATATTTCTGTCTGTATGTTAATCGGTGGGCCCTAGGCCTACATTATAAGCACTTTACTTGTCCGGGTGGCAAAATAAACAACCCATATCATTAATGCAACATTTGCAATATATCGAACTTGCTCTAAACGAATAAATGAGTTAAGTTGGTTAAGTTTGGAATACCCTATTGTTCCAGCCATTTCCAATGACCAAGGCAATTCACAACGTCAACATTCTGGAATCGCCAGTATAACTGACACCATTCCGCCAACGCTAGGACTTCTCGGACTCCTTGGGTTGCTAGGGTGTATACCCTGGTTTTTTTTAATCCCGTGGATGCGTTATCATGCGAGAAGGTATATCTGTTTAAGTGCTTCAAATATTGAATATTAGTGAAATTTTAAAGCAATACATAGATAGCCGTTGTAAAAAATTTAAGATAGAAAATGGTGATATTTACTAGTATTAGCTGTGGGGAAAACTTTGGAGATGCTTAAAGTCCGGGGGACCTGCACTACAAGAAATCTGAAGGTCCTCCAAATACTGTGCTGGTCCGAACGCCGTGTTTTATTTCTGTTTGTGTATGTTTACATGTTATATATAATTATGTACTGTATTTTCACATAAACCTAGTATGTTGGGCAGACAGATCACCTCATGGTCTTTATGCCTCTTATTTAGCAAAGATTTAAACCCATTCAAAATACTTGAAAATGTCCCACGTGTATTATAGGGGCATTCGTTAATATTCGTTTCATACTTGCCATGATGTCCCCTATAATAATGTTATTTAAGTATAGTGGGTATTTTCACAGAAAGGTTGAGTCACTTGTTGAAGATCAAGAAGAGCAGAAAACCCCAGGAACGAAGTACATGTGCGTGATGCCTGAAAAGGACAAAACAACCGCAAAGGATGGAGTTGCTGTTATGGTAGAGGAGGGTGCATTTATTTATGTCTAGCTTACAATCCGACGCACTTTTTATGGCCAACTATATACAGACACTTAAATAATATGCTGTCGTCCAGAATAGGACGGTTGTTTCTTAGTTTTGCACAGATTTACACTAAAGGCGGTTATGCATGGTGATATTGGTTGGCCAACTGGTAAATTTGAAGAAATGCAATAATGATAAGCCTAATGTACAGACTTTTGTACATTAATGTCTTTGTACTATTTAAAGCTCACGTGACTTGGGCGGTCTTTTTTCAATAATAAATTTTTAAAAAGAATTACTTGTGTCTGGTTATTGACTAGATCTGGAAGATTCCAACACCTAGATGTTGATCTGGCTAGATCTAAGCAAGCAGTTGTAATGAACTTTACACGGAACCACTTTGGACAAGAAATGGCACCTTTTTAGTCTTGTTCGGTAATGGATTGCTGTATAACTGTGAAATTTGGCATTCATCAAAGAAGGAACCTTACCGTATATGATCACACAAAAACAGCCATTTGCTGATTTGATAGTAGCAATGTTATTTTAAGTCGTAACTTTGGGGCACTTGACGTCACTTGCGCAGTACCTGTTTTGGACACTTCCACTGTTGTTTTGTTTTTAAAATTATATATATATATATATATAATATATATATATATATAAAACCCACTTAAAACTAAAATTCATTACGACTACATAATATCATTCAACCTATGTCAACCGGTTGCCGTCCAAAGTTTGTTGCAAATTGACCAGAAATAACCATTTGTGCTAGAAAGACCATGCATAATTTACCGGTGTTTCTGGCCCTCTCATTTGACTAATATACCTCGTGGACATGACACTAGAAACACTTAATTGTAACGCTGGTAATCACAGTGACATTATGGTCTGGTACATTCAATGTATCAGTCGTCATACTATTAATGTCATAACAATAAGGACAGTCGACCGAGTCATCCCAGGCACCAGCTTGTTCTTCATATGTACCGTAAGCCTTGAGCACTTTACTGTCTACGCACACAAACTGGACGTCAACGGCCACAGTGGCGTTAGAAGCCTCAACAAAGTGCACAGTCTTACTGTGGTACCCAGCGGGAAACGGTTCGTTGTTGTTGGCACAATCCGGGAAATCAATCCACACAAAAGGCGCGACTTTGATCTCTAGTAGACGGTATGGCGGGAACATGTATAGATCTGCACATCGCCAACCAACAGCATTCAGAGCCGCAGAGTGCCTTCCATTGAAGAACAGAGCTAAAATGGTTAAAATAAAGATAATCCTTGCGTGCGACTTCGTAGGATTAAATGTGAACATGATTTTGGTGGATAGCGCTTTTGTTGATGGGGGAAAAAGCAGTAGCACTGAAATTGAAGTAACAATACTAATCAGTTTGTACATAGAGCCTAATATGATAGTATGTAATAGACATTTATGTTGTATCATTATTATAGACACAATTTTCAGCTTTACAGGCAGTGACCTCATTATCAAAGAGCAATTTCTCCATTTTATTTCGTATTTTCATTGCCCTATAGTAACAAGCAGATTGCTTGTACAACGAAGACATAAATTAAGACATAAATGAGCTTTTCTTATTGATTTCCCTGGGGAAATGTGTTAGATTCTATACAGTGGCGGATTTAGGGGGTGGGGGGTCAGGGGTCCTGATCCCCCCTTCGATTTCTGAAAAAAAAATCACATCAATGGTCCCCTCTTGAAATTCTAAATTTTTAAAAATTTATTTAAAAATAGCTGAATCATAGTATTAAACCGTACCAAATGGCACAGTTCACCCTCTAAAATTCCAAAATGTCCAAATCGATGTCGACCCTCCCCACGACTTCGCATCTGCGGACGCCCCCCCCCCCCCCTTTAAATAATCCTGTATCCGCCCCTGCTATAGATGGCGCTACATACCTGTCCTTCCCAGTTGAAACTTATAAACGGTTTGTATGATTCCACACTGACATTTTATTACGTCCGAGCGCGTCTGCCATTGTACAGCAAACATGACAGCAAAAATGACAACAACATTCACAGGAAATCTAATCATGTCTGCCTTGCGAGTGACACTCCTTACCTAGAATCTGTATAATTAAGTTTGCATATAGGCCTATCAGTAGATCATCTTTGTGCCAGTGCAATAATCCTTCTACAAGTATCAAAACGAACTATCACGCTTTGAACATCACCAATTATTTCAACAGCGAGAAAGTATTCATTCAGCATTCCATTAAAATCCCCAGAAATGATATGTAGGAGGAAAAAAGAACAAAATACAGATTTCGACACCGTACTTAGGCTTGAATCCCAACACCAGTGCCTACCCAGACAGCCTCAGTGATCTGGCCCATGTCTGGC